CAGGAACACACTCATTTAGTGGAGATGAATAGGAAAATTATCTTGGAAAACAATGCTGAATGACATATTTTTGCCAGTAGTATGAGGAACCAGCCAGCAACTCATTTCAGTTATTTCAAATGAAACATCATCCTCATTAGCTGCAGCCAGCAGAACAAGAAACCTTACCTTTTCTAAAAACAGCAATAAACAAAAATAGTTTGTTCCAAGGTACGTTTCACTGGTACTGGTTTTCCAGTACTGGTTTTCCCTAGTTCCCTAGCTAATGAGCAACATAAGGTATTTTTTAATAGAACAAAAACAGTCTCAGCCTTTAGAAGAGCTGAGTTGTTCTACAAAATAGATAGCCATCTACAAACTGCTGCAGAACAGGGAACTGACAGACACAACATCTCATAAAATTAAAAAAAAAAACCAAAAACACAAAAAAAAACCCAAGGGAAAAAAAAAAAATCTCTTTCTTCAAAGGCCAGGCATGAAAGAGACGGGTAACACAAGCTACCCTAACTGCAAAACCAAAAGCAGCACAGAGAAGCTGCGTGATGAAAGGTTGAAACTAACTTGGCTAAAGCAACCAAACTTTCTGCGATACTGTGCATTTGTTAATCTTCTCCTGCAAGCAAACCCAGAGACTTGGGATATCAGGGAAGGAAAGGAATCTGCTGAAAAGCAAAAAAATAGATCAAATGTAATGACAGCATAAAAAGAGAAGAGAGCAGAAACAGAAATACATCACAACTAAAAAAAAAAAAAAAAAAAAGTATTCCACACAAAGTGTAATATTATTTTCAAAAGTAAAAAAATAAATGATCTATTGTGAAGGTTGCAGATTTCCTTTTTCCTATTTCACTGCCCTAAGTTTTGGACATCAACAAAAATTAAATAGCAACTGCTTCTTTTCAATTAGTTCTGAATTTTATTTTAACTCAATTTTTATTCAATATTTGCTAATGTATACAGAAAAAGTCATCAGCTTTTATTTTGGATAAGCACAAATTCTTAAAAAAGTAACACAGTGATTCACCACTCTTGTTCGGGTTCTGTGGGTAAGAAATCAGTATTATTAGTTTGGAAAAAACCAACCAAACCAACCAAAACCCCACAGCAGTATTCAACAGCTGATTTTGAGCAGTTGCTTCCAAGATATGCAAGCTGCCTGCACAGTAACTTAGACAATACTAAGTTGTACAACCCCAGTATTATTCTCTGTGACACAGAAAAGGCACAGTTCTTTTTGTAGAGAAGAGTACCTGCATTAGCAATGCTCAAGAATATTTCGTAGTTTATTCCGTAGTAAGAAAATGTAATACAGCCTACAGGAGAGAGTCATTCACGTTGGCAGCTGACATAAAACAATGTGAGGTCAATGCATGCGTTATAAAAAGTATTACAACTGTTATGCATAGCTTAAAAGTGCTTTTTGCATTTTAACAATCTAAGATGCATGAGTTGTTGGGAGTTGTACCTTGGTTCAATTTCTTCAAAACTCATTTTAGGATACTTCCGACATACTTTAAATTATTGATGTCCAACCGTAACCCCCATTTCGAGGTCTTGGCATGGCACCTTGACTTTCATCTCCCAAGAGCGGAGGCTCCTGGGTACCGGCACGGGGAGCGCAGGAGAAGGGCAAAAGCTTACCCAGCGCATGGCTGCAGCTGCGGCAGGGTTCGGCAAGGCTGGCAGCCGCCTGCTGCAGCTCGGCCCGGGGGGGCGTTGGGGGCGGGTTGGGGTTCTTCCACCCATTGCATTTACAGGATTCCTCAGCCTGAAATCAAAACACAGGGATATAGCGGTCAAGATGGTAGAACACGGGAACTTGCTGCAACCGTGTTATTTCCAAAGCAATTAAAAGTCATGTTATTATAGGGTAGGGGGAGGTTTGTTACATTTTTATGTTTGGGGGGGATTTTCAGGGTGTTTTGTTGTTGTTGCTTTGTTTGGTTTTGTTTTTTTTATCTGCCACACAGCTAGACCTTATTTTCTAGAACTAATCAGAAATAGAATAGCACCCCAAATAGAGAGATTAACATGGTTCTGGTAAGCGAAGCGTGCTTAGAAAAATCATAGGATGGTTTAGGTTGGAAGGGATCTGCCAAACCCCCTGCCATGGGCAGGGACACCTCCCACTAGACCAGGTTGCTCAAGGCCCCGCCCAGCCTGCCCTTGAACACCCCCAGGGCTAGGGCTTCAACAACCTCTCTGGGCAACCTGTTCCAGTGCCTTACCACCCTCATAGAGAGAATTTTCTTCCTAATATCTAATCTAAGTCTATCTTCTTCCAGTTTAAAGCCATTCTCCCTCATCCTATCACTACATGCTCCTGTAAAAAATCCCTCCCCAGCTCTCCTGTAGGCCCCCTTTAGGTACTGGAAGGCCGCTATAAGGTCTCCCCAGAGCCTTCTCTTCTCCAGGCTGAACACCCCCAACTCACTCAGCCTCTCCTCATAGGAGAGGGGCTCCAAAATAGACACACAAACTCTGGATAATTTCTTTACAGAAAGCCCTCACTAGCTCCTATACGAAAGAAGCGTTCAAACATTTACTGGTGTATCAACGTGTACAGATCCTGCCACTAAGACAGTTTTCATGATTTAAACACAATCAGGTTACCTAACAGGCAACACGTTTATCACCACCTTATCAGCTATGCTGACAACAAAGAATCATGCAACTAAAGAACCAAGCCCATCACAACCCAAGCAGGGTTAACTAAATACTGAAAAAGGCAAACAGTAATTGTGCTATCGGAGAGCAGTGCCTAAAGCAGGGCTCGGCCACAAGAGCAATGGGTGCCAAAGACAGTGACGCTTACCAATGAAACCTGCTGCTCACCCTGGAAAGTTTATTTACGCTCACTGACCGCAAAACACCGACAGACTGTAGCTAAAAGTGGTGACGACCATGAAGGGAGAGCCTGTGGCTTGGGCGATCGCGATTCAAATCATTCAAAAGTTCATAATCCCGATTCTCGTTACCCCGAGAGCAGCTTTATAGGAGGGGATTTTCTTCTGCATAGCCAAAAGATCTTAGTTATTTTGGTGGCAGAGTTCTTCTAACAGCATTCATATCCCTATGTGAAGGCCTAATGGGAAGAAAAGAGTGCCTTCCTGCTGTTCAGAGGTATCTGTGCGCTGGGCTGGAACAAGATACTCATGAATTTGCAGCGCCAAGACCTCAGCGAGGAAAGTATGCCAACTGCTGCATAATATTTATGACTGAAACAACCTTAGTGGGAAAAATTGCGATGTTAATATATCCAGCACTAACGTGTCATTTTTCAAAACCGACTCTGAATATATTTAGTGCAGTCTATTTCAGGCACCTATTTAATTTTCCTTTTATGTTTCCAAATCCCACCTTACCTAGGGAAGCAGTACCCAGGAGAAGCAGAAACGATCACAGCTTGACAGCTCCTAAGACTGACAGCTTTGTAGGTTGACGGTAAATTGTTCTTCCAAACTAATTTCAATACTCAGCGACCTGAGCACCAAGAGAACTGCCACCTGCGGTTTGCTGAGCACCACATGATGTTTTTACCATCCATTATGCTTAAGTCTTTACCCAGCTGGGCTCCTGGCCAGGGGTGCTGTGGTCTCTGCCGGTTCCCGGGGAGGTCTGGCAGGTACGAAGGGATGCAAGCGGATTTTTCAGCAGCTGGAGCCCCCAGGGTGACTCAGAAGTCCACCTGCAAGCACCCAGCAAAACCACTTCCAAATACTTCCCTCGGAAAGGGGGACAACCTGCGTTGCCCGAAGCCTCTGGCTCTCCAAACTGACTGCGTGGGCGCCGACTGCCCGCCACAGCGCACATTTATAGTGCAGCATCAGGGAGGTTTCAGTACAATATGTGGGGAAGATTAAAACTTTTTCTTTTTTTTTTTTAAGTCTCATAAAATGCAATCTGGATAGATTTATGGTGAATTTTATAATAGCTTTTTTACCATGTTTTCTATGAGTAATATGATTGGCAGAGAAGTGAAGGAGGCCTGATGCTGTTTTACAGAAAAAAACATCTCTTACACTTTCACCGGCATTGAGCCAGCTTACTTTTGTTTGTCATCCAGACCTACAGGACCTCTTAAAGTTTAATGACCAGAAAGAGAGGTCAGTGATTGAGTGACACCTGTGAACCAAGGACTGCCCTGGTGCGGGGACTTTGGACATCAGCGAGATGATGTGAAACCCCACTCTGAATTCGCATCTTGAGTGAGACAAAACCAATGCCAAATAAGCTATCCGCGTTTGCTTCATTGCCGTGAAAGTTTTTGCAGTTAAGACAAGGATAGAGAAACTGTCACAGAAAAAAACACTGCCAGAAAAACGAGATTATTGCCAAAGAAAATTCAAGAGGCAATTGTAAAGACGTTCTCAAACAAAAATTGATTGAATATTATTCTAGGGAAGCAAGATTTGATCCTTCCCATCCAGCTGTCCAGACAAATGTTCAACACTGTAAATTACTGACATAATATCATGTTTATTATTAATTGCCTTAAATCATACTACAATGAAACATGTCCAAAAAAAAACCACCCTCAAACCAGGCACAAGCTTTTTGAGAACTTTTTCTCCAAGTGGAAACAGTATTTCACAGAAGCTCACCACACAATGTTTACTATCAACCCTGAAAACTATAAACAGTGAGTAACTACACAAACTTTAGTGTCACACAATAATTAACAGTAAAGATGCAAACAAACAGATGTACGAATCGTGATAACAGCTCAGTTAAACTGCCAAAAATAAATATCAAACCACCCACAGAAGAATAAAAACAGTGTGTTCAACGGCAGATTTTTTCTGCCCTCGCTAGTATTTCCCCGCCAGATCTTTCTGAAGCCGCAGTTAATTTGTATTGTTCAAATTATTCCAGAGACGTTTCTCAAACAACTCTTAGGGTGGGGTTTTTTTGGTTAAACTCTCTGTAAAACACCAGAATCAGCATAAATGTTCTGTTAACCGAGGGGAAATACAACCCAAAAAGGTCCTCTTTTAAACTAAGCTTTCATTGTAGGTGTTGACAGTGCAAGTATTTTGCAGTGAATACGCAATGTGCATTCCTCAGTGGCTTAAATTGCTGAGTTGTTTTAAGTCTTCCACAGCGCTTTTTTCATTCAGTCCTTTGTTTGACTATCTTCAGCTTTTTTCTTTCTTTTTTTTTTTTTTTATAATGTCACTCATCTGCTTTTCATTAGAAAATAAAGTATGACTTCACCTCTGCAAAAAACTTAATTTAAGATCAAAATAGTTTTGAGGGGAAGAAAGAAAAGAAGCATTTGAACTAGTACATCCAGTCCTTTGAGCCTTGTTTTCTGGGACATCTGCAGAGCTTTGATAAAGCCACTGGAAAAAGTTGGGGACTTGTGCCTTACTGAAGCCTGCAAAGTAATGACCGTCACCTTTGCAGGCCCGGAGATCACAAACACTGCCTCTTTGTTAGTAGTTTTAAATAAAATCAGATGAGTACAGTAAAATAAAATACAACAATTACACACTGTTGCCGTCCCCCCTCAAAAAAGGGTTCAGAAATTCTGTACATTTTGCACTGCACAATATAATTTCGGTCATTTTTTTTGAGCCCTTCCATTCCAGGTGGAGCATTACAATGTGGGAAATCAAACTGTGTGGTAGCTTTGGGCAGCGAAAACCACAACTTTGGACAAACTAAAGTTACTGTTTCCTTTAAAATACTGAATATACTGAGCAGGTCAAAAACAGACAGTGAAAAAATACAGGACATTTTAACACACGTTGTTAGTATTCTTACTTAAAAATTACGCACCCGAAAGTTACAACACTGCCTCAGTGTTGGGACCTCAGAAAAGGGTCTCAGCCCCTTTTCAGTGGGTGTCAGATGTCTAAATAATAACGAATAAATGAAGAATGTCACAGCAACGTGCGGACTAGAGCATTCCTCCCCTTTTCCGACAGTGAAATGAGTACAGGAATGCGTAAACTTCAAATCAACTTAACTACAAGGTAAAAGACCCCAACAGTCTTAAAACTGAGTTTCAAAAGAGCTGTTGTGCTGGGCTCTCATTCCAACTCAAAATGCTACAGGTTGCCCTGCCTGCGAACTGAGATGCGGAGCAGACTCAACAGATTATATATACCCAACACTACAGATCTTTCGGTTTCCAGCAAGTAAAATTCTTCTAGAAAAAACAGTCTTCCTCCCAACACAAAAGCCGTGTAAAATACCCTATAAGTTTTTTTCCGGCAAGCAATAATTTCAAATTGATGCTTTGATCAAAGAACATCAAACAAACTGCAACAAATACACTGACAAACTTGAAATATGTATTTTTTCCTACTCAAATGTCCAGTACCCAGCAACCAGACAGACACTGCGTAGAGAGCCACTCAGACTTATCGGGAAATTAGCTGATGCATTTGTCTTTAACAATACACAATAATCAGTTCAATGTTCAGCTCTATGGACATGTCCTTCATTTATTGATCAATCCAAGTATTTTATTCCCTGTATTTTCCAGTTTCACTTACAGAATAGATGTAGGTTACCATACCAAGCTTTTATTAATAACAGGGACCTGATGCCCACCTTGTAAAGTTAATGGTAGGTTTTCTATTTAATTTAAGGGAAGATGCTTTTATTTGACCAGTGAGACACTGTAAAACAGATTCATCCCACTATGAAAATGATCGTGAGGAAGCTTTAGATATCTTGTATTTCTGCAGAAGCGTGTAGGAGACAACAACTTTAATACATTTCCAGTTGAGCTCCAAGGAGCTGTACTCACACTACACAGAGTCCAGCAGTAACAGGGCCAAGTCTGCCGCATCTTAATCTGCCTTACAAAAGTCAGGGAAAAAATATTTCATCACGTAAACGGCGGTACGTGTTTACCCTATGAACTCTTTTTTACGTGTAGGAGCAGGAAAACTCCATAGAGGTCACTCCAGGATGAGAAGTGGGAAGAAGGGCTCCCACCGAGGGTCAGCTCCTGGTCTGGAGCCCGGGACACAGATTTTACTTCAACTTCTGACGCTCGCTCACCCGCTGCAGGGCTTCAGCCGAGTCATCTCATCATAACCTTTCTCACTCTCTGTCCATTTTGTTTAGGTAAAGCACAAGGTCCTTCTTCAAGAGAAATTATTCCCTGCTACTTGTGCAAATGCCTTAGGCTACTGGGCTCTAATTGTATTTATAAGCATCCAGGCATTAATGTAAGATATATATATAATGAGAAACAACCGACTTTACAGAAAATTTAGTGTACTAAAATAGTACGTATTTCAACCTGTTTATCAGAAAAACTCCCAGTGAGTCTGGAGAGAGAGTTGTATTTTCACATACTGTAAACCAATAGGGAAAATAAGCCGAGGAGACTTCCTCCTCCATCTTCATTAAATGTATTTACGTGTGTAGGTCACACAGTGCTGCTTTTATGTAAAAGCGCTGCAAGCTCGCCTGCCTAACGCTCAATTTCACACTGGACAAAACCAAAACGATGTATGCAGCCGTTCACACACGCACAGATACAGCAAGTGCCAAAAACAAAACCCCACGCAGCATACGGCACTACTGTGCACTTCCTAAAGTCGCAAAAACGGTGCCAACTCCTGATATATATATAAAATTGTTCATTACACACTTTCTCCCCCCCTCCCCCCAATTTAAGAAGGGTTTGGGTTTTTTTTTGTTTTGGAGTGGTTTGGGTTTTTTGTTTGTTTGTTTGTTTGGGGTTTGTTTTTTGGTTTTTTTTTTACACAGAGGAGCCTGTTCTCTCCCTTCCACCCTGACCTTTTCTCACAGGTGAAAAAGTCAAGCGGAGCAGCTCAACAGCTACAACTCTCCTGTCCCAATTATTTATCAGGAAAAAGAAACAAATCCCATGTTTCTCTAGCCTGGGCAGCAGCTCCCGGAACTTCACTCTCATTCTGCTCAGAATATGCGCACACTGAAGATGTCTCTGTATGTGTTTCCCGCAAAGAAGTCTCTGTATGTGTTTCCTGCAAAGAAAAAGGGATCGCTGAAGAAGGACCAGGAGGTCCTTCTTGGGCACTGAGCACCCTACCCCAGAGCAGCGCCTTCCACCCTTTTCTGCTGCACATTTCTGCCGTTGCCAGTGAAGATTTGCCCTCTACATGGCCACCAACCTATCCATCTTCTTGTGTTGTTGCTCTTCATGCCTAGCAAACTCCCTGCATCTGCTACTCTCAGCATCTCCAAGGTTAAGTTCCTAAAACCTTTTGTGTGCTGAAGCAGCAGTATTTTGTGATGAATTTCACATGAGAGAAGGTGATCAGCACTAAGGATGCCATTACATATTTTGCACTCCACCTTGTACAGCTCTACGTAGAGTTACACAAGATTCACGTATGGCCACTCCTTGAATGAGCACAGGCGTCCCCTTCGGAGATGGTGTGTTCACCTTCTCCCATTCTCTCGTTCTCACACACAGAAGCACAAAATAAATGGAATAGAAATTGCGACCCAAAGTAAGAAAAAGTTCAAAGTTATACTCTGCGCTGCTACAGTTTCCTGCAAACCGCTAACGTCACAAATGAAGCAGTGTCATTTTGGAGCACCTGTCAGGTGTTCAGGAAGAAAAATAGCACATTTTTCCACCCTGCTCCATCCTTCCCCCTTTATCCCACAGGAGAAGCCGCTTGATTAGTTTACCAGGAGCTTCCCGTCTGCCTGCTTGCTTCTGGTTGGAGACCTGAAAGCAAGCTGCCTGCCACTGAATGACCGAAGAGAAGTGGAGCAGCAAAGGTAGGGTTTGCATTTTAATCTGGACCCAGACCAGCATTTAGTGCTGTGGCTGATGCAGGAGGAAGAGGCCC